TGCACTATTGTGTCTGGAGTATTTTTAAAAGCAAGGTTGGCACAAAAAAGTACCAGAGTGTCGATTACCTCAAGCAAGCGCTTCGCCGGGTATGGGCCAAAATACCACAGAGCAACATTCGAGCACCGTGTGACGGTTTCATTGGCCGTTTGAAGGCCATAATTCGTGCCAAATATGACCAATTCGAACAAATCTAAACTTATTCTAAAATTTGATACGATTTCCGACATTTTTTGCTTTCATTTAATAACATTTTTTAATAAATGTAAAAATTATGGCGCCTGACTTTGTTGCAGTTTTTTCATCTCACCCTGGCCCTTATTTCACCTTTCTTAACGAATATTAAGGAATTTTAGAAATTCATTAGAATTGCAAAAATATGACCACTTTGGTCTCCTAATGCCACTGAATGACAGGAAAATTGTCCTACTGACATTATTTTTCTTTTAATATCTTCATTTTATTTGTTTGTTGTTTATTTTTAGTTTGCAAACCTTGAAATACAAAGTAAATAGATTTACACATGCAATCATAAATTGTCGTTACTATTCTTAATTGGGTGTATGAACTCAGCACTGCAATAATCTTTCCAAAAGGATACTGAATAGGTTATAATAATAATAATAGCAATAACAACTCTTTATTAAGTGGGGCAATAAAGAAAAATAATGCGACATTCTGTTTGCCTTCACTTTGTTGACATTTAAAATGTTTAAATAGCACAAATATAAATATGTCAAAACCATATGGGAAATAAATATCAAAGCGGAATACGAGGTGGGTTTAAACAGGTCAAAATTTTTAAAGGATAATTTTTCCAGAAAGAGCAAGCAATATTTTTTTAAAGACCGTAGTAGTGGATTTTTGAAAGAATATTTTTTCAAGGTTTATAAATGGCGTGGATTTTTTAAAGAATATTTTTTTGAGGTCTATAAAAGGCGTGGATTTTTTAAAGAATATTTTTCCAAAGTCTATGAAAGGCGTGGATTTTTTTAAGAATATTTTTCCAAAGTCTATAGAAGGCGTGGATTTTTCAAAGAATATTTTTCCAAAGTCTATAGAAGGCGTGGATTATTTAAAGAACATTTTTTCAAGGTCTATAAGAGGCGTGGACTATTTAAAGAATATTTTTTTAAGGTCTATAAAAGGCGTGGATTTTTTAAAGAGTATTTTTCAAGGTCTATAAAAAGGCGTGGACTCTGTAAAAAATATTTTTCCAAAGTCTATAAAAGGCGTGGATTTTTTAAAAAATATTTTTCCAAAGTCTATAAAAGGCTTGGATTTTTTAAAGAATATTTTTTCAAAGTCTATAAAAGGCGTGGATTTTTTAAAAAATATTTTTCCAAAGTCTATAAAAGGCTTGGATTTTTTAAAGAATATTTTTTCAAAGTCTATAAAAGGCGTGGATTTTTTAAAGAATATTTTTCCAAAGTCTATAGAAGTCGTGGATTTTTTTTAAGATTATTTTTCCAAAGTCTATAAAAATCGTGGATTTTTTAAAGAATATTTGTTCAAAGTCTATAAAGGGCGTGGATTTTTTAAAGATTTTTTTTCCAAAATCTATAAAAAGCTTGGTTTTTTTAAAGAATATTTTTCCAAAGTCTATAAAAGGCGTGGATTTTTTAAAGAATATTTTTTCAAGGTCTATTAAAGGCGTGGATTATTTAAAGAATATATTTTCAAGGTCTATAAAAGGCGTGGATTATTTAAAGAATATTTTTTCAAGCATCGGTAAAAGGCGTGGATTTTTTAAAGAATATTTTTTCAAGGTCTATAAAAGGCGTGGATTTTTTAAAGAATATTTTTTCAAGGTCTATAAAAGGGGTGGATTATTTAAAGAATATTTTTTCAAGGTCTATAAAAGGCGTGGATTATTTAGAGAATATTTTTTCAAGGTCTATAAAAGGCGTGGATTTTTTAAAGAATATTTTTTCAAGGTCTATAAAAGGCGTGGATTTTTTAAAGAATATTTTTTCAAGGTCTATAAAAGTCGTGGATTTTTTAAAGAATATTTTTTCAAGGTCTATAAAAGGCGTGGATTTTTTAGAGAATATTTTTTCAAGGTCTATAAAAGGCGTGGATTTTTTAAAGAATATTTTTTCAAGGTCTATAAAAGGCGTGGATTTTTTAAAGAATATTTTTCCAAAGTCTATAAAAGGGGTGGATTTTTTAAAGAATATTTTTCCAAAGTCTATAAAAGGCGTGGATTTTTTAAAGAATATTTTTCCAAAGTCTATAAAGGGCGTGGATTTTTTAAAGAATATTTTTTCAAGGTCTATAAAAGGCGTGGATTTTTTAAAGAATATTTTTCCAAAGTCTATAAAAGGCGTGGATTTTTTAAAGAATATTTTTCCAAAGTCTATAAAAGGCGTGGATTTTTTAAAGAATATTTTTTCAAAGTCTATAAAGGGCGTGGATTTTTTAAAGAATATTTTTGAAAAGTCTATAAAGGGCGTGGATTTTTTAAAGAATATTTTTTCAAGAAGAGAAGATTTATGGTTTTGTAAAGAATATAAATAATAAAAATGATTTTTTTTGTATATCCTAATCCCCTCCACCTTAAACTCTAATTATCCCTCTACCCTACACATAAAAGCTTGCATACACAAACAAAGTACATGTACACACAACAAATACTCAGGCAGCCAGCCAATGATAAACAAATCATTAAAAATGAAACTGAAAGTTTGTTTAAGAACAAAATTAGGTCCATGGGGAATAGGTCGGTTGGTCAGTGAAATGGAAATCCAACCCTCATATCCTCACCTACACTCACACACAGACACACTGATATACTAATGATTCAGCATTAAACTCTTTGGCCAGAGAAAAAAAAACGGAGCCATCAACGATGATAATTTAATTGGCAAGATATTAGTTGGACGAGGGAGAGAAAAAAAAAAAAAGAAAACAAGTTGTTGATAGAAACATGTCACGACAGGATAATTAGAGGATATCGATGCAAGTAAAATATTTATAAAATTGTCTTCAACAAACATTAGTTGATGCCTTAATGGATAAAAGCTGGTGTATTTGACAGGAAAATAAAGAAAAGTTGAAATATTTATAAATTCCGAAGAGAGATATGTGGGAGGTAGGATGGTAGACATAGGTGCTTAATGGTATTTTCATGATATTTATTATTCTGAGAGGCGTTCAGGATAACAAAGAAAGTTTTTTTGAATGACAACAATAAAACGGAATACATTGTTATTGCAATTACAATAATTTGTGTTTAATGTTCTCACAGGATCAAGGTGATATTAATTATTAAAAAGCTAAAAAGTATCAGTTGGAATTGCCGTCAGATGAATACCCTCAGCTAATTTGTGAATATTTAAATATATTTTGACTTCTGTCATGATTATTCAAATTGTTGACCTTCTATGAAGTAGGTTCAGAAGGAAAGAGCGAATATAGTCAATTTCTTTTAGGACCTAAAAAAATATGATATATATTTTCCAACGTGCCAGATTTGGACTATATCGACTAATATGCGTGAGGTAAGATTTTTAAAAATATTTTTTAAGGCTATGCCAAAAGACGTGGATTTTTACAATTTTTAAGGCTATGCCAAAAGAGGTGGATGTTTAAAAATATTTTTTAAGGCTATACCAAAAAACGTGGACTTTTAAAAAATTTTTTAAGCCTGTGTTGTTGTTTTTTTATTGTTGACCTGTATATTGATTCTTATTAACTTTATTTTGGCTTAAGGTCAATTGAAAAACATCAGTGTTTTATTTTTATAATTTTGATTTTTATTTTCCGATATTTCGACTGTCTTCGACAGTCATCTTCAGGGAAAAAAGTCTTGTTTCACCGTCTATGCTAAGCCTATTTTTTTAAGGCTATGCCAAAAGACGTGGATTTTTAAAAATATTTTTTCATAGCCCTTCCAAAAGGCGTTGATTTTTAAAAATATTTTTTCCAAGCCCTTCCAAAAGGCGTGGATTTTTAAAAAATATTTTTTCCAAGTCCTTCCAAAAGGCGTGGATTTTTAAAAAATATTTTTTCCAGGCCCTTCGAAAAGGCGTGGATTTTTAAAAAATATGTTTTCCAAGCCCTTCCAAAAGGCGTGGATTTTTAAAAAATATTTTTTCCAAGCCCTTCCAAAATGCGTGGATTTTTAAAAAATATTTTTTCCAAGCCCTTCCAAAATGCGTGGATTTTTAAAAATATTTTTTCCAAGCCCTTTTTATTTAAAATATTCTTTCAAGGCCTCTCAAGGAAACGTGTATTTTTAAAAATATTTTTTCATGGCCCTTCCAAAAGGCGTGGATTTTTAAAAATATTTTTTCATGGCCCTTCCAAAAGCCGTGGATTTTTAAAAATATTTTTTCATGGCCCTTCCACAAGGCGTGTATTTTTAAAAATATTTTTTCATGGCCCTTTCAAAAGGCGTGTATTTTTAAAAATATTTTTTCATGGCCCTTCCAAACGGCGTGGATTTTTAAAAAAATTTTTTTTAAAACCTCTCAAATAAACGTGGATTTAAAAAAAAATATTTTTATCAAATCTCTCAAATAAACGAGGATTTTTAAAAATAATTTTTTGAAGGTCTCCCAGAGAAACGTGAATTTTAAAAATATTTTTGTCGGTCTCTCAAAGAAACGTGAATTTTAAAAAAAATTTTTTGAAGGCCTCTCAAAGAAACGTGAATTTTTTTAAAAATATTTTTTGTAGGCCCTTCCAAAAGAAGTGGATTTTAAAAAATATTTTTTAAAGGATCTTTGAAAAGGCTTGGATTAGAAAATATTTTTTAAGGCCTCTTCCCAAAGGCGTGATTTTAAAAATATTTTTTCAAGACCCTTTCAAAGGGCGTTGGTCTCTAAGTTATCTTTTCGAGGCCCTTCCGAAAGGCGTGGATTTCTAAAAATATTTCTCTCAAAGAAGAGTTGATTTTTAAAAATATTTTGCTGGGTATTTAAAAATAAAAATATTTTTTTCATAGACCTTCTGCAAGGATTTATTATTCATATATGTATTTGTGTTCTACTCACCTTTGCCAAATCCTTGATCCAAACGAAAATTATCCTTGCCCTTTTGACCATCGACCAATTGACCCAAGCCCTCAACGTAACGGTCATCCTCCTCGTGGCCATCGTATGATTTATCGGACAAATCGATTTCAATGCCACGGGGTGTACCCTTGGGAATGCTGTACGAGAGAATACCCTCTGCAAAAAGAGATAATAAACGAGAAAGAAAAACAAGAGAGAATGAGAAAGTTTGCAAAGAAGATGGAGAAGAAATCAAATTAAATATTAATTGATAAATGTATTGGAATTTTTGTTTTTGTAGTTGTGCAGAGAAAAACTAATTGAGTTGTTGTTGGCGCTGTGAGTTTTCTTTTTCTTCACAATAAGACAGATTAAATCATGCAATTATTATTATTATTCCTTCCTCTCTCCCCCATCCTGGTCAGCAAACCACAAATTAATTTACTAATAATGTGTATTCTGGGGCTTTCGAGAAATGTTGACTGGCCACCTAACCGATAATCTGCATAATGTTCGTTCATCGTCCTGCCGTTTTGTGGAAACTAGTTTAACAAATTAAATAATTTAAATGAAATTTAATACTATAATTTATCAACGTGAGCTATGAGCTTTGCTCTACTTCTGCTGCTAGGAGAGGGTGTATATTTAACATTTTGTGGTCGTTTGGATGGCTTGAAGGCCGGTCGGAGGAAATTAAATGCAAACATGTGCAAATTTATATAATGTTTCAATTATTTATAATTAATTTTAATGCTTCAATGCATTAGAAAATTATTTAAATAATTTTGGGGAAATGTTGCAAACATTCGGAATTTTATGTAAAAAGTTGGGATGATAAGGGGTAATCGTAAATAATTTTTTTCAAGGACTTCAAAAAGCGTGGATTTTTAAGATAACTGTTTCCAAGGACTACAACAAACGGGGATTTTTTAAATAATTTTTTTCCAAGGACTACAACAAACGTGGATTTTTTAAATAATTTTTTCCAAGGACTACAACAAACGTGGATTTTTTAAATAAATTGTTCCCAGGACTACAACAAACGTGGATTTTTTAAATAATTTTTTCCAAGGACTACAACAAACGTGGATTTTTTAAATAATTTTTTCCAAGGACTACAACAAGCGTGGATTTTTGAAATAATTTTTTCCAAGGACTAGAACAAACGTGGATTTTTTAAATAATTTTTTCCAAGGACTAGAACAAACGTGGATTTTTTAAATAATTTTTTCCAAGGACTAGAACAAACGTGGATTTTTGAAATAATTTTTTCCAAGGACTAGAACAAACGTGGATTTTTTAAATAATTTTTTCCAAGGACTAGAACAAACGTGGATTTTTGAAATAATTTTTTCCAAGGTCTAGGACAAACGTGGATTTTGTAAATAATTTTTTCCAAGGTCTACAACAAACGTGGATTTTTTAAATAATTTTTTCCAAGCTCTACAACAAACGTGGATTTTTGAAATAATTTTTTCCAAGGTCTAGGACAAACGTGGATTTTGTAAATAATTTTTTCCAAGCTCTACAACAAACGTGGATTTTTTAAATATTTTTTCCAAGCTCTACAACAAACGTGGAATTTTTAAATAATTTTTTCCAAGGACTACAACAAACGTGGATTTTTTAAATATTTTTTTTCCATAGACTACAACAAACGTGGGTTTTTTTTAAATATTTTTTTCCAACGACTACAACAAACGTGAATTAATGTTTTCCAAACGTGGATTTTTTAAATAATTTTTTCTGAGGTCTAGGACAAACGTGGATTTTTTAAATAATTTTTTCTGACGTCTAGCACAAACGTGGATTTTTTTAAATAATTTTTTCTGACGTCTAGCACAAACGTGGATTTTTTAAATAATTTTTTCTGAGGTCTAGGACAAACGTGGATTTTTTAAATAATTTTTCTTCAAGGTCTACAACAAACGTGGATTTTTTAAATATTTTTTTCCAAGGACTACAACAAACTTGGATTTTTTAAATAATTTTTTCCAAGGTCTACAACAATAAACGTGGATTTTTCAAATAATTTTTTTCAAGGTCTACAACAGACGTGGATTTTTTAAATAATTTTTCCAAGGTCTATAACAAACGTGGATTTTTTTAAATAATTTTTTTCAAGGTCTACAACAAACGTGGATTTTTTAAATAATTTTTTTCTGAGGTCTAGCACAAACGTGGATTTTTTAAATAACGTGGATTTTTTAAATAATTTTTTCCAAGGTCTAGGACAAACGTGGATTTTTTAAATAATTTTTTCCAAGGTCTAGCACAAACGTGGATTTTTTAAATAATTTTTTCCAAGGTCTAGCACAAACGTGGATTTTTTAAATAATTTTTTTCTGAGGTCTAGTCTGTTTCGAACCATGGAAAACCCATGTCACATGTCCCCTAATCATTCTACCATCAAAAGCTCATGTTGCCATTATTTCAAATGAAGTTTGTTTCAAATTTTACAAGGTGCAAACAATGTAAGACCCCCATGGCTGCCTTTAAACCAAATTCGTAATTTCAGCTCAGAGCAACATATAATTTAGCATAAGCAACTGGCAACCATGTTGTTCCATGTTCAAGTTGCGTGTTTTGCAGATTAAATTCCAACGACTTTTTGTTTGGCGACCAGTCCGTTTTGTTATGGCTTTAATTCGTTCTATTTGTGGCAACATGCAAACCAATCTCGGAGAAGTTTTTAAGCAAAAAAAGCTTTGAAATCGTGTAGCGTAAATTAAATCTTAAGTTAGTTAAAGAACAAGCTCTGGCAGGCATTTATGAGGTTGAGGGTTTCAATTAAAAAATTCATTTTTTTTTAATAAAATATTTATTTTTTAATTAAAATTACAGCGGCCTTACTTTTGCATTGGCTTGAAAGCACCTTGCTGCCATATAAAAATATTTATTTGTAATTTATCAATTTTTAATATAATCCAATGTAATTTTAGCTACCCCTTAAATGAACCTCATGAAACACCAATCCTCCGAAAATCCCCGTCAAATATTTTTTTCAAAATCCACCAAAAACCACTTCAATTTGGTGACCATCATCATCCTCGGTGCCTGGCAAACTGGTTTCCAATTCAAAATTCCGTTTATTTTCAATTTGCCACAATATTCCATTAAATTTTTAAACATACGGTTTCGTTGCCAAGGTTTCGCGCTGTGCTCTGCGATTCGATTCGTTTGTTGATATTTGTTTCTGGTATTTTTCTATAATTAAATATGATAACGAAATTTATTGATTTCCTTTTCAATTTTCCGAATACAAAGCTGGGCCAACCAACAGAAAAGCAGGGTACCAAAAATTGAATTGTTTTGTATAATTCCATTTTACCACTGAGCAACAAATACAGGCACACAATCACACATACACACCCGCGCTCATAAATGAATGGAAAAAATCTGATGTAATACCGAAATACATAACATGAAATCTGATTTATTTTGGTTTTGTGTGTGAACGTTCCTTCTGCTCTCCTCTCGTCCCCAAACTGGGTCCGGCAAACAAACACAATTTCCGAAATTAGCCACTACATGGAATAGTTGACCACTATGACGGATAAACGTTCAAAAATATATGGGAGGATACATAGAATATTTTAAATTTTTAAAAAAATACCTTTTTAAGGACCATCCACCAAGGCGCGGATTTTTTAAAAAAATATTTTTTTCAAGGTCTATAAAAGGCGTGGATTTTTTCAAAAATATTTTTCAAGGTCTATAAAAGGCGTGGATTTTTTAAAGAATATTTTTTCAAGGTCTATAAAAGGCGTGGATTTTTTAAAGAATATTTTTTCAGGGTCTATAAAAGGCGTGGATTTTTTAAAGAATATTTTTTCAGGATCTATAAAAGGCGTGGATTTTCTAAAGAATATTTTTTCAGGGTCTATAAAAGGCGTGGATTTTTTAAAGACTATTTTTTCAAGGTCTATAAAAGGCGTGGATTTTTTAAAGAATATTTTTTCAAGGTCTATAAAAGGCGTGGATTTTTTAAAGACTATTTTTTCAAGGTCTATAAAATGCGTGGATTTTTTAAAGAATATTTTTTCAAGGTCTATAAAAGGCGTGGATTTTTTAAAGAATATTTTTTTAAAGGTCTATAAAAGGCGTGGATTTTTTAATAATATTTTTTCAGGGTCTTTAAAAGGCGTGGATTTTTTAAAATATATTTTTTCAAGGATTATTCAAAGCGTGGATTTTTTAAAAAATATTTTTTTAAGGATTTTTCAAGGCGTGGATTTTTTAAAAAATATTTTTTCAAGGATTATTCAAGGCGTGGCTTTTTAAAAAATATTTTTTTAAGGATTATTCAAGGCGTGGATTTTTTAAAAAATATTTTTTCAAGGATTATTCAAGGGGTGGATTTTTTAAAAAATATTTTTTCAAGGATTATTCAAGGCGTGGATTTTTTAAAGAATATATATTCGAGGTCTATAAAAGGCGTGGACTTTTTAAAGAATATATATTCGAGGTCTATAAAAGGCGTGGATTTTTTAAAGAATATTTATTCGAGGTCTATAAAAGGCGTGGATTTTTTAAAGAATATTTTTTCAAGGTCTATAAGAGGCGTGGATTTTCTAAAGAATATTTTTTCAGGGTCTATAAAAGGCGTGGATTTTCTAAAGAATATTTTTTCAAGGTCTATAAAAGGCGTGGATTTTCTAAAGAATATTTTTTCAGGGTCTATAAAAGGCGTGGATTTTCTAAAGAATATTTTTTCAGGGTCTATAAAAGGCGTGGATTTTTTAAAGAATATTTTTTCAAGGTCTATAAAAGGCGTGGATTTTCTAAAGAATATTTTTTCAGGGTCTATAAAAGGCGTGGATTTTTTAAAGAATATTTTTTCAGTGTCTATAAAAGGCGTGGATTTTCTAAAGAATATTTTTTCAGGTTCTATAAAAGGCGTGGGTTTTTGTAAAGAATATGTTTTCTACGATCATGCAAGGCAGGGTATGGAAACACCCACATTTTAGATGTATGTCCCTTCAATTTTTGCTATTTACCAGCTATGTATGTGTGTGTTTCTGTGCTTGCCAATAAAAACACCATTGCAAACAATGACCATCAATATCATCAAAACTAAACATCCGACCAAAATATCGACAGCATATCGAACAGAGAAAAATATGTATGGAGGCCAACAAATACCGCCAAATCGAATGGCAGATTCAGTGGCAACAACAGCAACAATGACAACAACAATTCCATACTGCAACCAAACCACTGGCGACCAGCAACCAAAGGCAGTAAACAATATTGATTCTTACAAAAACTTTTCTGTTCTCCCCTCTCTTTTTTTTTGGGGTGGGGGGATGTTGGAATTCTACAACAAGCATCTGGTATTCTTTCACATCGAACTCCAGTTTCTCTAAACCACAGCAGTCTCCCCTCTGGCCTGCGAAAAACCACTGACCTCTATTTTAGTTTTAGCCGAATATTTGTAGAATTTTTGCATTGGGGTTTTGGGCTTCTGTGACGATGGCATACAAATATTGAAAAAAAAAAAAAATCGAAGCCATTGGATATATATTTTTTGGTTAAACTAAAATTTTAATACTAGCCCAGTTCTCCATGGTTCAATGAGAGTTGCTCCAAAAAAAAAAAAAAACAAACTTAGTTACTTACCAAGTCAAGCTAGTTGGAATATTAGGCCACAATCGAATTGTGGCTGAAAGGAAATAAAAAAAATCCATATCTAATATGAATCTCCAAGTAAATTGAATATTTGTAGTTGGGTGTATGAAAACATGTCAGAGTGTGTGTTTTCTATGGCCAACCTGTTATATTATTCCGCCATACTGCCAGTCAATTATGGTTATGTTTTTCTGGGTCCTTTTGAAAATGTCCTGCCATTGATTGTCAAAACATGTCGTTATGATTTTTATCTATTTGACATGACTCTAATAATGGAAATTATTACTAAATGTGATTAGGTCGGTAGAGAGGGGAGAGGGAGGAATATTTGATGAATATTTTTTTCATTTAGTGGTAAGGAAATTAATGTTTCAAAAATTGATTGGAGGAGTTTTCAAGACTGTTATAGAAAACAGGTAAAAAAAGCTGTAAGTTCAGACGGACCGAACTTTGAATACCCTACACCAATTGCAACGAATTTGGAAAAAAAATAAAAAAAAAAAATAAAATAAAATCCGTTAATTATTCTGTTAAAATCATAAAAATTCCGAAATCTGCCATTATATTAGGGTCTATACCACGACGTGGACCTGCACGGACAATTTTCTGTCGCAGGCTGTAGTATCCATTACGAACTTCAAATACCAAATTTGAAACAATTCCGGTGAATAATGTCGCTAAAATCATCAAAATACCGAATATCGGGAGGTACCGTTATATGGGGGCTATAAGAAGGCGTGGACCTACACAGACAATTTTCTGCCATGGGCTGTAATATCCATTACGAACTTTAAATACTAAATTTGAAGCAATTCCGGTGAATAATGTCTCTAAAATCATAAAAAGTACCGAATATCGGGAGATGTCCTTAAATGGGAGCATACGAAGGCTTGGACCTGCATAAACAATTTTCTGCCATAGGCTGTAGTATCCATGTAGAACTTTAAATACCAAATTTGCAACAAATCCGGTGAATAATGTCGCTTAAATCATCAAAATACCGAATATCGGGAGGTGCCGCTATATGGACCTACATGGCCTATTTTCAATACTTAAAATCCTGCGGACATAGTATACATTTGAGTAAAATTTTATCAACCCACTTCATTTCGTTTGGCAGCTAGAGTGATTTCCACAGACGGATGGACGGACAGATATCGCTAAATCGCCATGGAATTTTATGCTGATCAAGGGGGGGGTCTAAAATGTATATTTCGAGGTTTTACAAACGGAATGACAAACCTAATATACCCTTCATACTATGATGGAGGGTACACAAATACACCTGCCAAAAAAAATTAGTTTTCTATTCAAACCCACCTCACAAGCCATCAACAAACACTCAATTAAAAAAAATAAAAAATTGAATTTTTTTTTCAATTTCAAACAAGTTTTCCAAAATTGAAAATCTAAACTTACCTTCCCAGGGGCATCCAACAACTTCAGCCCGCAGGCACACCGTCCGATCATATTGGCTATATGGATAAATGCGAACTTTGGAGGCAAAGATGATGGGTTGCAGCACGTTTTCCACCTCACTGTAGGTATTGGTGTTGCCAGGTAAGATCTGGAAAGAGGAGAAAATGGGGGGGGGGAAATTAAGAGAAAATCCACTTAGAGAACAAACAAAGGCTTGGTTTTTGGAAATTCGTACCAGAACGGTACGAAAATTATTACAAGGTACTAAATATGGTACCCTTAGTATTTTAGGAGGTAATAGAGCTAGAACTCTTATATTTGGAACGAGTGTCACTGATGGAGTGTATGATAGATGTACCAAAGGGTTTTTGGAAATTCGCACAATAAGTGTACGAAAAGTACTAAAATGTATTACATTTGCAACCATTTCGTATCATGTGAACGGTTAGAGTTAAAAACTTGAAATTGAAATTTAATTTGGAATGGGAATCAATAATGAGGAGTAAGGTCTATGTAAGGAGGTCGTTTTAAAGGGTGTACTCCTAGATACGAAAAGTACTAAATTAAGTACAATTTGGAGAAGCGGGTGGTGCTGGAATCCTAAATTTTGTAATTAACAGCAGTAGTGGAGTGTAGAACTGGGATATGGGAAAGTTTTCGAAATTTCTACTTATGTACACGAAAAGTACTAAATGGTACTAAATTTGGTGCAATTTCGATTTTGGGTGAACCGATGGAGTTGGAATGCCGAAATTTTTAAATAAGATTACTATTGCATTCTAGAACAGAGGAATTCAAAATGGTACTAAATTTGGTACAAATTTGATTCGGGTGCACCTATATAGCTGATATCTTGAGAAATGGAAATAAGATTACTGTCGGAGTGTAGGATTGGGATATTTAGGTAGTTTTGGAAATGTGTACTTATATGTACTAAAAATACTAAACGCTATTAAATTCGGTACAATTTGAATTTGGAGGAACAGATGGAGCTGAAATCATAAAATTCGGAATTGGGATTATTGTGGGATTGTAAGATTGGGATATGAATAAGTTTTCCATATTTGTACTTAAGTGCACCAAAAGTACTAAATGGTACTAAATTTGGTACCATTGCAATTTAGTTGAACCAAAAGAGCTGGAATGCTGAGGTTTGGAAACACATTGTAGGACCGAGGTATTTAGGTAGTCTTGAAAATTCGTACTTATGTGTACAGGGTGAGATAAAAAAACTGCAACAAAGTCGAATGTCATAATTTTTAATTTTTTTTAAATTTTATTGAATGAGAACAAAAAAGTCGGAAATAGCATCAAATTTTAGAATAAGTTTAGATTTCTTCGAATTGGTCACCTTTGGCACGAATTATGGCAAATGAAACCGTCCCACGCAGCCCGAATGTTGCTCTGCGGTATTTTGAACCATTCCCGACGAAGCGAGGGCTTGAGATAATCGACACTTTGGTATTTTTTAGTGCCAACCTTGCTTTCCACAAAACTCCAGACACAAGAGTCTAACGGATTGGTCTACGGAGATTTTGCCATTTTCGACATTGTGCTCTGCAAAGCTGGAAATGAAGCGAGGAACCTCATTTTGTAACCATTTTTGGGTGGCGCGTGCTGAGTGCGATGGTGTTGAGTCCTGTTGGAATGTCCAGGGTATAAGGCCAAAATGTTTGAGTTCCCAAAGCCTTAATGCTATGCTCCCTTCAGAATATTTTCGCGATAATATTCGGCATTTATTCTGATGCCACGGTCGTTCGATTAATACGAGCGGAGAGTGACAATTGGCTGTTATGGCGGCCCACACCATTACCGGCGCTTGAGTTCTGGTGGCCAACCGAAGGTGCACATTTTCAGCTGACCTGTTTGTTTACAAACTGCTGGACAACGAATGTTTTCTCATCAGGGAGCGGAGAAAACCAAATTCGGCAGTTCACCACTTTCGGCCAAGCGAAGCAACTCTTTAGCACTTTTGAGGCTATTTTCTTTCTGTTGCGGTCTAAGTTCTTGCACTTTTTGGAATTGGAATTTCAGTGTCTTTACCCCGAGCTCATTTTTCAATATTTGCGAATGGAATATTGCGATATCTTCAGCTCACGAGCCATTTTTCGGCCACTGCGACACAGGTTTCGCTCAAGACGCTTCCTTACTTTTTGACGAACAAGTTCTGCTGATGTTGTTGTTTTCTTCCGTCCACTCCCGTCCACAGTATCACGGTAACGAGCGACGGTAGGATACACAAAAGATGTATTCACATTTAAATGCTGGAGTGCTCTAACGATAGCCACTTGTGGTTTTCCAGCCAAATATAAAGAAATTACTCTATCACGCTTACTTCCATCACGAATAACTTTTTTTCTGGAAAATTCTCACCAAAATGCTTTTGTACGCTTGTAAACCATATAATGAGCTGTCACTGGAATAATTTTAACAGTTGTCGGACGAGTGGCTTAGAAATGACAGCAGTCGGAAGTTGGTTGCAGTTTTTTCATCTCACCCTGTATATATGTGCTTTGAATCTGAAATTTGGTATTAGGGTCGCTGTTCACATATAGCTGGACATAGGGGGGTGGTTTCGGAAATGCATACTACAGGTGTACCAAAAGTGCTAAATTCGGAATTGGATGAAGGGTAGAGATAAAATTCTGAAATTGTAGTTTTTTTGTTATTGTTGGTATCTATGATTTGGCAGTGGTTTGGAAACTCGTGCTATATTTGTGCGAAAAGTACTAAATTTGGTAGTGAATGAAGGGGTAGAGCTGGAATCCAGAAAAATTATATTGAGGTCTCTATAGGTATGTCTTGAAAAGATAATGATAAAATATTGAAATTTCATATTTAGATCACAGATGTTATCTGCATTTGAGATTTGACGATGGTTCGGAAATGCGTCCTATTTATACGAAAAGTACCAAGTGGTACTACATTTGGTATTGGGTAAAGTGATATAAAGGAATCCTCAAATTTGATATTGAGATCTCTGTAGGTATCTGGAATTGAGATATGAAGGCGGTTTTGGAAATGTGTACTATATTTGTACGAAAAGTACAAAGAGGTACTTAACTGGGTATTGGGTAAAGGAAAATAGTAGGAATTCCAATATTTGATTTTGATGTCCCTTTTGGTACCTGCAATTGAGTGTGTAGCTAAATTTGGTATTGGGTAAAGGAATAGGGCTGAAATCCTGAAATTTGATATTGATGTCGGTGTTGGTATCTTAAATTGAGATTGTTTTGAAAATTAGTAAAAAATACATATTTTATATTTTTTCTTTTTGAATATTTTTATCTCTTTACTCACCTCTTTGCCCTGGAAATTTTTCCAGCGTTTCCACGCCTCCATGCCGGGTCGCCAGTACTCCACCACATATGCCTCGGTGTACTCTTGACCCTGGCCCTTGCCGAAGCGACCTTGGGTGCGGATGGCAGTCAGGACATGGATCTGCAGCAAATCAATTTGCAAATACTCCTTGAGGCCACGTGAAACCATGTGCTTGGGACACCATGCACCGCCATTGTTGTCGACCTTTAATCTGTCAATTAAAAGTGGAAACACACACAGAAAAATACCAAAGAGAAAATGGAAGAAAAAGACGAAAAGAAAAGAATAAAAAAATAAATCAATAAATGCAAAATTCATAGGTTAAGGTTATTGTGTAAGGAGCTTATGATTTTTTTTGTGTTTCCTTCCAAAGGATTAATAAATTAAGCAGCTACACGTTGGTAGATATGTATGTATGTGTGCGTATGTGAATATGTATTGTAGATATGTATACTGCTGTGTATTGCAGTTTCATGGAATATGTAAACCAAACGAAATCTTCGCCTGGAGCAAATCAATGAAATGGAAATACCATTAAAATAAGGCACTGAGGTGAAGATAATAAATATCTTCAAGTGATTCATGAGAAAAAAAATGAATAAATAATGTTACGAATTATTACAGGATAAATATAACCTCATTAAAAATATGAAACCATTGACCCATTTAACGGATTAACGAGGACGTTGCAATTTAAATGAGGAAGGTTATGCAAAAAAGCTGGAAAAATTCATAAGAATTTTTAAATGAAGGGATATGATAGGCGATATTCGAGGTTATTTAAAGAATATTTTTTCAAGGACCAACACAGGCGTGGATTTTTTAAAGAATATTTTTTCAAGGACCAACACAGGCGTGGATTTTTTAAAGAATATTTTTTCAAGGACCAACACAGGCGTGGATTTTTTAAAGAATATTTTTTCAAGGACCAACACAGGCGTGGATTTTTTAAAGAATATTTTTTCAAGGACCAACACAGGCGTGGATTTTTTAAAGAATATTTTTTCAAGGACCAACACAGGCGTGGATTTTTTAAAGAATATATTTTCAAGGACCAACACAGGCGTGGATTTTTTAAAGAATATATTTTCAAGGACCAACACAGGCGTGGATTTTTTAAAGAATATTTTTTCAAGGACCAACACAGGCGTGGATTTTTTAAAGAATATTTTTTCAAGGACCAACACAGGCGTGGATTTTTAAAGAATATTTTTTCAAGGACCAACACAGGCGTGGATTTTTTAAAGAATATTTTTTCAAGGACCAACACAGGCGTGGATTTTTAAAGAATATTTTTCAAGGACCAACACAGGCGTGGATTTTTTAAAGAATATTTTTTCAAGGACCAACACAGGCGTGGATTTTTTAAAGAATATTTTTCAAGGACCAACACAGGCGTGGATTTTTTAAAGAATATTTTTCAAGGACCAACACAGGCGTGGATTTTTTAAAGAATATTTTTTCAAGGACCAACACAGGCGTGGATTTTTTAAAGAATATTTTTTCAAGGACCAACACAGGCGTGGATTTTTTAAAGAATATTTTTTCAAGGACCAACACAGGCGTGGATTTTTAAAGAATATTTTTTCAAGGACCAACACAGGCGTGGATTTTTTAAAGAATATTTTTTCAAGGACCAACACAGGCGTGGATTTTTAAAGAATATTTTTTCAAGGACCAACACAGGCGTGGATTTTTTAAAGAATATTTTTTCAAGGACCAACACAGGCGTGGATTTTTTAAAGAATATTTTTCAAGGACCAACACAGGCGTGGATTTTTTAAAGAATATTTTTTCAAGGACCAACACAGGCGTGGATTTTTTAAAGAATATTTTTTCAAGGACCAACACAGGCGTGGATTTTTTAAAGAATATTTTTTCAAGGACCAACACAGGCGTGGATTTTTTAAAGAATATTTTTTCAAGGACCAACACAGGCGTGGATTTTTTAAAGAATATTTTTTCAAGGACCAACACAGGCGTGGATTTTTTAAAGAATATTTTTTCAAGGACCAACACAGGCGTGGATTTTTTAAAGAATATTTTTCAAGGACCAACACAGGCGTGGATTTTTTAAAGAATATTTTTTCAAGGACCAACACAGGCGTGGATTTTTTAAAGAATATTTTTTCAAGGACCAACACAGGCGTGGATTTTTTAAAGAATATTTTTCAAGGACCAACACAGGCGTGGATTTTTTAAAGAATATTTTTTCAAGGACCAACACAGGCGTGGATTTTTTAAAGAATATTTTTTCAAGGACCAACACAGGCGTGGATTTTTTAAAGAATATTTTTCAAGGACCAACACAGGCGTGGATTTTTTAAAGAATATTTTTCAAGGACCAACACAGGCGTGGATTTTTAAAGAATATTTTTTCAAGGACCAACACAGGCGTGGATTTTTTAAAGAATATTTTTTCAAGGACCAACACAGGCGTGGATTTTTTAAAGAATATTTTTTCAAGGACCAACACAGGCGTGGATTTTTTAAAGAATATTTTTTCAAGGACCAACACAGGCGTGGATTTTTTAAAGAATATTTTTTCAAGGACCAACACAGGCGTGGATTTTTTAAAGAATATTTTTTCAAGGACCAACACAGGCGTGGATTTTTTAAAGAATATTTTTTCAAGGACCAACACAGGCGTGGATTTTTTAAAGAATATTTTTCAAGGACCAACACAGGCGTGGATTTTTTAAAGAATATTTTTTCAAGGACCAACACAGGCGTGGATTTTTTAAAGAATATTTTTTCAAGGACCAACACAGGCGTGGATTTTTTAAAGAATATTTTTTCAAGGACCAACACAGGCGTGGATTTTTTAAAGAATATTTTTTCAAGGACCAACACAGGCGTGGATTTTTTAAAGAATATTTTTTCAAGGACCAACACAGGCGTGGATTTTTTAAAGAATATTTTTTCAAGGACCAACACAGGCGTGGATTTTTTAAAGAATATTTTTTCAAGGACCAACACAGGCGTGGATTTTTTAAAGAATATTTTTCAAGGACCAACACAGGCGTGGATTTTTTAAAGAATATTTTTTCAAGGACCAACACAGGCGTGGATTTTTTAAAGAATATTTTTTCAAGGACCAACACAGGCGTGGATTTTTTAAAGAATATTTTTTCAAGGACCAACACAGGCGTGGATTTTTAAAGAATATTTTTTCAAGGACCAACACAGGCGTGGATTTTTTAAAGAATATTTTTCAAGGACCAACACAGGCGTGGATTTTTTAAAGAATATTTTTTCAAGGACCAACACAGGCGTGGATTTTTTAAAGAATATTTTTCAAGGACCAACACAGGCGTGGATTTTTTAAAGAATATTTTTTCAAGGACCAACACAGGCGTGGATTTTTTAAAGAATATTTTTTCAAGGACCAACACAGGCGTGGATTTTTTAAAGAATATTTTTTCAAGGACCAACACAGGCGTGGATTTTTTAAAGAATATTTTTTCAAGGACCAACACAGGCGTGGATTTTTTAAAGAATATTTTTTCAAGGACCAACACAGGCGTGGATTTTTTAAAGAATATTTTTCAAGGACCAACACAGGCGTGGATTTTTTAAAGAATATTTTTTCAAGGACCAACACAGGCGTGGATTTTTTAAAGAATATTTTTTCAAGGACCAACACAGGCGTGGATTTTTTAAAGAATATTTTTTCAAGGACCAACACAGGCGTGGATTTTTTAAAGAATATTTTTTCAAGGACCAACACAGGCGTGGATTTTTTAAAGAATATTTTTTCAAGGACCAACACAGGCGTGGATTTTTTAAAAATATTTTTTCAAGGACCAACACAGGCGTGGATTTTTTAAAGAATATTTTTTCAAGGACCAACACAGGCGTGGATTTTTTAAAGAATATTTTTTCAAGGACCAACACAGGCGTGGATTTTTTAAAGAATATTTTTTCAAGGACCAACACAGGCGTGGATTTTTTAAAGAATATTTTTTCAAGGACCAACACAGGCGTGGATTTTTTAAAGAATATTTTTTCAAGGACCAACACAGGCGTGGATTTTTTAAAGAATATTTTTTCAAGGACCAACACAGGCGTGGATTTTTTAAAGAATATTTTTTCAAGGACCAACACAGGCGTGGATTTTTTAAAGAATATTTTTTCAAGGACCAACACAGGCGTGGATTTTTTAAAGAATATTTTTTCAAGGACCAACACAGGCGTGGATTTTTTAAAGAATATTTTTTCAAGGACCAACACAGGCGTGGATTTTTAAAGAATATTTTTTCAAGGACCAACACAGGCGTGGATTTTTTAAAGAATATTTTTTCAAGGACCAACACAGGCGTGGATTTTTTAAAGAATATTTTTTCAAGGACCAACACAGGCGTGGATTTTTTAAAGAATATTTTTTCAAGGACCAACACAGGCGTGGATTTTTTAAAGAATATTTTTTCAAGGACCAACACAGGCGTGGATTTTTTAAAGAATATTTTTTCAAGGACCAACACAGGCGTGGATTTTTTAAAGAATATTTTTTCAAGGACCAACACAGGCGTGGATTTTTTAAAGAATATTTTTTCAAGGACCAACACAGGCGTGGATTTTTTAAAGAATATTTTTTCAAGGACCAACACAGGCGTGGATTTTTTAAAGAATATTTTTTCAAGGACCAACACAGGCGTGGATTTTTTAAAGAATATTTTTTCAAGGACCAACACAGGCGTGGATTTTTTAAAGAATATTTTTTCAAGGACCAACACAGGCGTGGATTTTTTAAAGAATATTTTTTCAAGGACCAACACAGGCGTGGATTTTTTAAAGAATATTTTTTCAAGGACCAACACAGGCGTGGATTTTTTAAAGAATATTTTTTCAAGGACCAACACAGGCGTGGATTTTTTAAAGAATATTTTTTCAAGGACCAACACAGGCGTGGATTTTTTAAAGAATATTTTTTCAAGGACCAACACAGGCGTGGATTTTTTAAAGAATATTTTTTCAAGGACCAACACAGGCGTGGATTTTTTAAAGAATATTTTTTCAAGGACCAACACAGGCGTGGATTTTTTAAAGAATATTTTTTCAAGGACCAACACAGGCGTGGATTTTTTAAAGAATATTTTTTCAAGGACCAACACAGGCGTGGATTTTTTAAAGAATATTTTTTCAAGGACCAACACAGGCGTGGATTTTTTAAAGAATATTTTTCAAGGACCAACACAGGCGTGGATTTTT